AATATATACTATGGTAATTTTGAAATTGCTCGAGTGTTTTATTAGTTTTACCTATGTCAAGATTTGGTTGAGTTATATGCCTTATTTATTCCCTTTTCAAAATTATCAATTACCGCTTGCTGATTATTTTTTCTAGGTGTGTTTCTGAATTTTCACAATTCAATATTTAATGTGATTTAATAATTATTTATTTTTTAAATTTAGTGGCGCCCTTGCCATTCTGTACTTATTCAACTATTGACCCACCCCTAATAATTATTCGCTAAGCAAGCTGAGCAAATTATGGGCCCCTTGTTAATTCATTAAAAAAAGGGGTTACAAGGGAGGATAAAAACAAAAATAACCGTGCAAAATCGAATTCAACCTATTTACTGCTAAAGAAATTATGGGGAAAATGAGAGATAATCCTAGTTGCAGTGTTGCAGTTATCATCGTATCGAAGAATTATATTCAACTTATCAGTTGTAGAAACTCTTCCATAAATTCCCGGCGATCGATCAGTTCAGAAAGTAGAAATGTTATCAATAATTGCACTTCCGATTATCCAACAAACAAATAATTTGCTTTTCAGTTAGTGAAGTTTCGCTAGTGTTAATGATTATCCAATAATAAATAATTTGCTTTGTAGTGAGTTATGTTTTCGAAAAACCTCAACTTTGAAGTTCATCTCGAAAACTGTCGGCACCACCTAAACTAGTTTAGCACAGTTTAATAGATAATTTAATGCTCTTTCAAACAATTATAACTTAAATTAATTTCCGATCTTTACTTGCTTCGACTAGGGTTCCCTTATGCGGGTTTTGCATTCCTAAATATTTGTGTTGTTTGTGCATCGGTCTATATCTTGTTGGTTATCCAATTTTAGGTTTTGTTGTTCTTATCTTATGTTCTGTTTTCGTCAGATTTACTTCCAAACCCCATTTATCGTATTCCTCTATCAATTTGCGTCTCATGTACTCTATGCCAAGATAATCCTATGTAGTGATGCCGCCGAGATGAGAGACGAGAATCTCTTATCTCGTCAAGCATAACAACACAACAACAAAAGCAACAACAGCACAACAATTTGTGTATTGAGGCTATTGATTGAACCTTTTTTTTACAAATCTTTCAGCATCACATCCCATACGTAACAAATTCCGGATGTCTCTCAATGCGTCGATTAATTTCAAGCCCAAATGCGTCGACCAATTGGGAGACTACTTAATTCGCATAGAAACTAAGACCACAAAATTTCGACCAAACTTCAAATATAAAGCTTGATATCTCAGTAACTATAGGAGCTCCAAAACTAGTTCGCCACTTTTGGATTTATAGCTTCTTCAAACAATGTATAATTTTCAATTTCATTTGGTTTTGCAGCATTCAAATGCCGAATCAATACAAATTGCTAGCAATTATTACCAAAATCTTTCTTCGATTTCCATCCAAGTCAATTTCCGAATTGTCCACAAGAAAAATATCAGATTTTTATTCCTTCCCTTTACGGCGAAAATAAAACCAGACAAAAACCATTCCCATCGATATTTTCCCTTAAAACAGAAGACAGAGTGACGTGATTTGTGGCCAAAAACGAACGTCGAGGGAACGGGAATTTATGGAAGAAAATCTGCTTCGGTTCAACTTTAAACTATTTGTCAGGGCTAAGAACCGCATATTTCTGGAAACAGCGTGTATTCGACTGTCGAATACAAAACAGAAATGGAAAAATGAGGAACGATTTTGCCAGTTGACCAGTTTGTGAATGGACGTTGGTATTTGGCACGGCCGCTTTTAGATTGGACATTAGAAAAATAAGAATTTATGTCTTTATTGAGGAAAAGACATTTGGTAAGTGTGATTTGATGAACTGGTCATGGTTGCTGCTTAACTTATTTGAAATAGTAATTGCAGGGCACAATAATCAACATTACTTTAAAAACTTCTACTGGATTCAACCTAAAAATTAGTAAAAAACTTAATATTGCTAACTGTGCGAATTGTTCCATCTACCCGGAATTTCCCGAGAAAGTTTCAAGTTTCAGGACCTCAGGAAGTCGAGGGGTCCTTATAGATTATCCATGCGATATTCGCCCCACGTATTTTCGCGAAGGCTAAAAGGCCGCAACGTGTACAGCTGAGGCTGAGCAGCAATTAATTAGGTTTCCATACTGAAATGTTAAAATTTCTAAATTTAGTTGTCTGTTAAGCCCGTATTATATCTGTGTATTTTTCCATGAATTTTTTTCATGTAGTTTAGGGTAACAAACGAAAAACTTCAAACGCAACATAAATAAATCGGCATTATGAAAAACAAAATAATTTTGACACCCTGAACTACATATAGAAATACACGAAAAAATACACAGATGTAATACGGGCTTCAGTCGATCTACAAGTTTGGATAAGTTTAAATCCTACCCATGGGAAACTACTTGCAGAGCTTTGGACAGGTAAAATTATTCCATAGAATAAAGGATTGGATTTATGTAAGATAATTTTGTCAAGAACAAGAACAGCAGTTATCCACTAGTTTTATCATATTTCAATGGTTTTTTTTATTAGGATTTTAAGTCCCAGCATCCAATAGTTATTATCATCAAATGAGGTTTTCATTTTAAAACTAATTTAATACCTCTTCTTCACCCTCTAAGTTTTTAAGTCAATTTGGGAGCTCCGAAAATGAGTTTATCGTAGATGCGCGACGGAAATTGTTTGCCTTTCGCGTCACGTATTTTCATGAAGCCATTTTTGATGATATCGTTATATGAACAATCGAAGCCTCGAGAGATTCTCGAAGAAGAAAAGATAATAAGGAATATTTTGTATGTACGTATAAAGCAAAACTTATACTTTAATGAGTATTACTTTTTATAATTTGTACCCGAATTGAATGAAATATATGATAAAAAAAAAATAGGAATATGTAGCTATTGTATGGAACGAGAATATTTAACTCTCCAATGACTGTTGTATTTAAATTTATTTTGTTTCAATGGAAATTCTGACTGTAATTTTAAATTTTGTCTGCATAATTAACAAATATTTACGTTTTGTTTTCAAAATGGACCAGCATGTGGACACATGTGGTTTGATTATTTTCGTTTAATTATAGACTGAAGTTTTTTAGAATTGCGGAATACTTAAAAAAAAAAAAACGTATGAATTGAATATGGCAGATGAAAATCGATCCTTGTCAGTTCAAAGATAATTTTGCAGCTTATTCATTTTTCTATGTGCTATTTTTTAATCACACATTCAAAAGTAATCAATTATTGTAATAATATCCAGAGCTTTGTGGTCTATAACATAGGTAAGGTTCATAGAATTTGGATAGCGGAATATTTTGCTGAAAAATATGTATGGAATTGAAAATTTCGACCGTACAAATTTAATTTCGAGAATTTTTTTCCGGTATCGGTTTGTTAACCTACTTAATAATGCTGATTCACTTTCTTGAAGTATTCAATATTTTAACAAATATTGCCTAACAACTCTGAGTATTGTAAGTCATTTCATTATTATTATTTTATTTAGCTTTTTATAAAGTTATACACAAGTTATATTAACCAATTGCCATGCTGATTTATAATCAATTATCTATTTTTTATATGCTTTAATGTGCTTACCCCTTTCCTCTAGGACTTTTTAAATACATTGTTGTAAAGTAAACATCAAATTGCTATGTCGGCATTAAATGTTTATTTAAGCCGATGCCGTCCCATTAGGAACGTTCATTTGTTTTCTGGCTTTAGCCTGTAGCAATTTGATCCGAATATTTTCTTTTGTCACCTCTGTATTTTAATCAATAAAATAAATGTTTTTTAAAATACAAGTTTCTGAATCGAAAATATAATTGGCGCAGTCGTTCGGATGCTCAGAGTTTCGGAAGTTGATACAGTCGTAATCCGTCGCGAAAATTTCAAAAGACTGAAGGAAGTTCGAAAAAGTGAATTCTTCGGAAAAGTGAAATTTGGATTATCAGTGCTGCTATTAAACGTTCCAGATACTGTCCACTTCGAATTGGTTAACTGAGTAAAAGGAATAACAAGAAACAACGTGTGAAGAAAGACTACTGTTATTAGCTTTGCCTAGTAAGTACAACCTTTCTCTTTATACATTTTGTAATTGGTGTTCCATAGTTAAGATTTTTGGATTTTTGATCTTTTGTAATTTCTAATTTTTTGATTTACTGAGAAGACTTAAATTCAGATTTTTGTTCTTTTGCAATTCCAAAAAGGTTTGCTGAAAAGACTGAAATCAAAAACTAAAGAGTAACAAAGAATTTACAAACCCAAAGTAACAAATAGTTTTTAGAAAAAGCAACGCACAAGACTGATTAATTAATTATAATTTTAATTTTAATAAAACTTTTTAATTTTGAATTTTTTTAAATTTTCAAAATAATTTCTTTTAAAAATTCAAAGAAATATATATGTCAGATTCTGAAGAAGAAATCGAGAATCTTTTGACTCAATTTAATTTAACTCATCTTTACAATCCTAATTCAAGAAGTAACAACCAAAATCAAAGATCAACCGTAACAATGAGTGAAAATTTAAAATCAATTGTACAACTTATCAAACCTTTCAGTGGCGAAAGCCAATATTTAGAATATTTCATAAGAAACATCAATGAATTTTATCAAACTTACTATACTAGTGAAAATGCTCAAAAAGAGTATGTGGTTACCGCCATAAAATCAAATTTAACACGTTGGCTACCATATGAGTCACCGGTGATGCATGCGATTCAGTTGCTTCTATACTAACGGGGATGCGTAAAGATTTCTCTTAGGGACCGAGCCTTATCTCAAGTTATAAGTACATCCATCACTAAACAGATGTCGCTGGTGCACAAAGTACGTTATGCGGGTTGCTTCCAGATTGTTCTGTCGGTTGATCACCGGTGATACACTTGGTCCATAGGTGATCCTTAGTATTTTTTTTATCACGTTTTTGCATGTCGTTTTATCAGTAGTTTAGATTGGTTTTTGGTGCATTGTGATTATTATGTGAAATATGGATCCAAAAGAAGAAGAGAAATTACTTCGATGGTATAATGAGGTGGAATCTGAAGGTAAACTTTGATAAGCAATAATAAAAAATAGAAAAGTTCGTAATATTTATTTTCGCCTCTAGAATCAAACCTAAAAAGTAGTCAGAATTACAATATAGATGAGGAAGATGAGGAGATTGAGTCTGAAGCTGAAGAGAGTAGTAGGCAAACAACTAGAGGTATCCATTTTGTGAAATTATCTACACAAAGCAACAGGTTGTTGAAGCATGTTTTTTATCTCTAGATTTAAATCGTCAAAGCATCCATGACGACAATAAACTTGGAGAGAGTAGTGGAGAGACAAGTAAAAATCGTGGTCATCCAAATCGTCGTCAGTACCAAGATCTAGAAAGCGACGAGGAGGAGCCATTTCCTGCCTCTGACTCAGAGTATGAGCCTAGCTCTGAATCAGAAACGGAGTCTGAGCAAGAATCCGAAATTGATGATAACGATGAAGACGTGGATGGAGATGTCAATCAACCGACCATAATAGCATGGAATGAAGTGGATGGGACGTCTTTGAAGCAGTTTACTTTTATTGATTCAGGACAAATAAATGTTCCCCCTAACTTGAGACCTGTAGATCTTTTCAGACTCATTGTTGATTCAGATATTGTAGATTTGATTGTCTTGGAAACAAATAAAAATGCTAGAAGATATAAAGTAAATTGGAAAGATGTATCTGCTCAAGAAATGGAAAGGTTTTTTCGCTATTTTGCTGTTTATGGGACTGTCCAAATTGCCGAAAATATCAGACTACTGGTCACGAAAGTTTCTATATCGGCATTGTTTTGTGAGACATATTATGCCAAGAAATAGATTCCAGGACCTATTGCGGTTCCTCCATTTTGCGGATAATGAAACAGCGAATAAGGCAGATCGATTGTATAAAATTAAACCTCTTACAGAAGCATTGACTAAAAAATATAAACAATTGAAAGTTCCTGCTGAGGTAGTATCCATTGATGAATCGATGGTACCATTCAGGGGTCGGTTGATGTTTAGGCAGTATATTCCAGGGAAAGCATCGAAATATGGAGTTAAAATCTTCAAGCTATGCGATGAGAATGGATACACCTACGAAACAGAAGTTTATAAAGGAAAAAGTGACACGGTAACTGCAGGACGCACCAGCAACAGAGTTGTTTTAAATTTGATGAAGGACTATCTTGATAGTGGACGGACTCTAGTTGCAGACAACTATTATAACAACCTGGAACTCTCAGACCTACTATTGGAGAGAAAAACGCATACCATTGGTACGTTGAGAAAATTTGTGAAGGGAGTACCGAGGGAAATTTTGGATGAAAAGAAAATGAAGAAAGGGGATATCAAGGGAAAAGAAAGTAATGGCAAGGTTATCGGTAACTGGAAAGACAAGAGATCGGTTAGGTTTATTAGTACGAGGCATACATTGAACATGGTCGATACAAACAGAAAAAATCGTAAAGGAGAAATTATTTATAAGCCAGAAGCTATTGTGTTTTATAATAAGTTTAAGATGGGCATAGACTTGTCAGATCAAATGGCTTCTTATTTTACTGCTCTTCGCCGATCGATAAGATGGTACCATAAGGTGTCATTTGAATATTTATTGGGCACGTCCGTTGTTAACGCTCTTATCTTATACCAACTATCAAACCAGAAAAAAATTCAAATAGCAGATTTTAGAGAGGCACTTGTGACAGGTTTACTTGGTGATATTATAGATAATCAAAAAGGAAGCAGCAAAAAAACCAAACATATATTGAATCAGATAGTTGAAAAAACGAAAGACAATCGAAAAAAGAGAAGACGATGTGTTGGGTGTTATGACATAGAATATGCTGTTAACAAAACATCGAAAGTAGCGGCAAAGAAGGCAAAATTAGTTTCCACTTTCTGCAACGAGTGTCCAAATTCACCTGCGCTATGTCTAGAATGTTTTCAAAAAAGGCACTAAGTTGATACTTTTATATTGTTATTTTGTGTTATGTCCTTATTTGAATATATATATTATTAGACTGTATATTTTACTACTTTTTTAATTTCTCATGTATAACTTGACTATGATGAATCACCGGTGATGCCCATTTGACCTACAAATTATTTGGTGTATTTAGATACCTCTGTCATATTCTATTTGCCTGCTTTTCTGTACCGGGGGATTTAAAAACCCATTAAACATCATTATGCACGATATCACATGTGATACATTTGGTCTACGAATGAACTAATCGAGTTGTTCACCGGTGATTCACATGGTACACCAGGGTAGAAATCTCGCTATAGCATTGGTAGCCAACGTGTTAATAAATGACGCAGGAAATTTTCTTATGGCACGTCCTGATTTACAAAGATGGACTGATATAAGAGAAGCGTTAAGAATTAAATATGGTGATCAATATTCTAGACAGAATTTGGTACAAGAGCTTATGTATACCACTAAAACTAATAAAGAAACTATTATTGAGTATTTGGATAAACTAAAAGGTTTAGTTCAAAGAATTACATCTAAAATCATATGCGACCCAAATTTAACGGTAGTTGCAAATGTTTTAATTGAACAAAACGAAATTTCAAAAATAAAAATACGCAATTTCGTTCACAACAATCACAACAAACCTATACTCAACAAAAACCTCAATATACACAAAAAACATCGTATGTACCACAGAAACCACAGTTTCCATCCCAACCTATTAATATACAACCTAAAAAGGACTATGTACCAACAAAATTTCCTACGAGTTCAGGAACTTTTGGCAAGAACTACAATAATGCCTTTCGAAAAAATACTATCATCAACAATTTTCGAAACCCACACCTATGTCCGGTGTTTCAGTGCAACCAAAAGCACAAAATCAACATCAATACCCTTCTAAATATACAATCGAAGAAATTAATAATATCTTTGAAATCGAATTGCCTGAACCTGATGAAAATTTCGAAAATGACGAATGTTCTGAAAATCAAAACTATTATGAAGAGACAAATTTTGAAGAAAATCAAGTCGCAACTGAAGACGAAAATTTTCAGTTACAAGCCTTGGATGCAATGAGTCAGCATTAACTTTAAATGCTTATCAAATCAACCAACTGCCTTTTATTCAAATAGACTATCCACCGTGTAAATTATTAATTGACACAGGAAGTCATGCCTCTTTAATAAGACCCTCAATCGCAGAAGAATATTTTTCAAATTCTATAATTAATTCAAGAAACAAGCTACCCAAAACAGCATTTAATGTTGAAAATGGTCATTACGAATTTAACAGAATGCCCTTTGGTTTGAAAAACGCCCCCGCGACATTCCAGAGAGTGATGGATAATGTATTACTAGGATTACAGAATAGAATATGTCTAGTATACATGGATGATATAATAATTTTTTCCACTTCACTTCATGAACACGTGAAAAATCTAAAGAAAGTATTTGAGAGACTCGAGAAGTTTAATTTAAAAATACAATTAGACAAATCAGAATTCTTACACAAGACAGTCGAATTCTTAGGACATGTAATTACACCAAATGGAATAAAACCGAATCCAAAAAAGATAATGGCAATAAAAAAATTCCCAATACCAAAGACGGTGAAAGAAATAAAATCATTTCTAGGATTAGTAGGTTATTACCGAAAATTCATAAAGAATTTTGCCAAATTGACCAAACCAATGACATCTTGTTTGAAAAAAGACAAAAAAATAATACACAATGCAGAATTTCTTAATAGCTTTGAAACTTGTAAAAATGTATTAATAAATGACCCAATATTACAACATCCTGACTTTAAGAAAACTTTCTTATTGACAACCGATGCATCAAACTATGCAATTGGAGCCGTTTTATCTCAAGGTACTGTCGGAGCTGATCTTCCCAGTGCATACGCATCAAGAACTTTAAACCCATCTGAATGTAATTATTCGACGATTGAAAAAGAACTTTTAGCAATCGTATGGGCAACAAAATATTTTCGACCTTATCTTTTTGGTAGAAAATTCACAATCTTGTCAGATCACAAACCTCTACAATGGCTATTTAATGTTAAAGAACCAAGTTCTAAACTAGTCAGATGGCGACTAAAACTATCTGAATTTGATTATGATATCAAATACAAAAAAAGAACATTAAACATGAATGCAGACGCACTATCAAGAATTCCTGCAATACAACTTCATGCCATTCAAAAATCAAATCCAGATGCCAGATTAACATCTTCAGATGAAGAATTTCATAAAAAATTAGGATTCATGCTGAAAGATACACCATTATGTAATGATGAAATCATAGCAAAATACTTTACAGATTCTAAAGTATATCTTCCTAAACGAAGCGAGATAGCTAAAGAAAAAGAGATAACAATGTCTGAATCATCTCAATCAACAAAGACAGCATCAGAAAAAGAACCTGAAGAAGAACCTAAGAAAGTAAAACCCAAAATAAAGATATTATCACAACTAATAATACCTCCAAGAAAAGAGAAAAAAGAAATTCCCATAGAAATCGGAGAATCTTCGAAAACTCAGAAAAGTATCAGACAAATAACACCAACTAATCGTTCTTCAACAATTTCAGCCTTGTCTGAAAATGACCAAACAATACATACATCTATGGAAAATCCAATATTAGGAGCTCCATATACTAAGAAACATGTAAATGTATTTGGAAATCAAATTGTATTTCGATATTCCAATAATAACACAATTAGAAAAGAGATAATCAAACTATTTGGTAATAAAAAGAGAATAATATTCTTCTTACCAAATAATCCAACAACATCACAAATTACTAATTTAGTAAAGGAATACATGCCACCTGGTATTTATTGCCTTCATTTCCTAAATAAATCTTTAGAACCTATTGTGATACGAGCATTATAAGAATCGTTTAATTCGAATTCATTTACTTTGTACATCTCGAACTCTTTATTAGAAGACATCACAGAAGTTGATCTTCAACAAGAGAAAATTCAACAATATCATGAGACTAAAACCTCTCATAGAGGAATCACTGAAAATATTGCAGCCTCAAAGAAAAGATTCTATTGGCCCAATATCGAGAAAGACGTACAGAATTATGTCAAAGTATGCGAGATATGCAATAAAACCAAGTATGAACGTCAACCATACAAAATCATATTCAAACCAACACCCATTGGTATGAAACCTTTTGAACATATTTATATTGACACGTATATAATCAATAACCAGAAATTTCTGACCATTATTGATAGCTTTTCAAAATTTGGTCAAGCCTCTCCTGTAAATACAAAAACAGCTGTTGAGATATTATCACAGTTATTGAAATATTTTAGTGATCATGGAATACCTCAAAAAATCACATCAGATAATGGAGCAGAGTTCAAAAATGCTATAATGACAGATCTTTGTACATTATACAAAATTGAGTTTCATTACACAACTCCAAGAAACCCGAACTCGAATAGTCCAATCGAACGATTCCATTCGACACTACGTGAAATTATAACGAGTTTGAAACTTCAAAACCCGAAGAAGAGTATTATTGATCTAATGACAATCGCTATATTGAATTATAACAACAGTACTCATAGTACAATGAATCACACCCCTTTTCAAGTGATTAAAGGAGATTTGAATTATGCCATACCAATCGAA